CAACGTTTGACTGGTACAATTAGTTTACAATTATACATATCATACCAATTTCCCGGGATTAATTTATTCAATTACGTTATTCGAAATTGTATGTAACTTATTCATACATGGTAATCAAACGATCTTCATCACTAATATCTCACTCGGAATGAAACGTTATGTAACCAGTCACCTGGCAACCAGTTAAACTATACGAGATTTGTGGATATAAAGTTACCTTGTAAGCAGCTTTTCTCATGAACTTTTTAGCAGTAACACTCCATATTGCTGGAATTGTTATAACCCATTGAATCTGTGAGGGTTTGTACATTGCTTCTGCATCGGGGTTGTCCCTTTGTGACTTCAAATGCCGTGCGTTTATGGTATCTGTTGCCACTTTTTTCAAGTATTCAAGGCACTTTGCAAAAACATCCAAGGCTGGCCATTTTTTTCCATTCCTGGCTTCTACTTCTGTTTGCTCATTAAGACCCTAAATATATATTCACAGATAACATTTGGTTAACGGTTTTAGCTCCATGAAAGCATCGAATGAAGTGTTGTTGAAACAATGTATGGTCATATATGAATATAGTCCAACCCTTTTCAGTGGCTATACCTAGTAAGTGGCAACCCCCTATGTATTAAGCGGTCCAGTCCCGAAACAATTGTCAGTGTAATAATGGAAATAAAACCACTGTTAAAAGCAGCCACTTCTTACACTGCGAGCAGTCTGTCTTTTGATCGAACATACGCGGGGAAGAACGCAACACAAAATTTCGCGTATGGTCGGTATGGCGCATTATTACATATAGTTGCGTATTGTTTACAAAAAGAGAATATTCTACTCTTTATTCGTTTTGCTCCTTACCCCTACTTTTTCCAAATCTTCTCACTTTCCATAGAAATTGGTCTTTTTAGTTTGGAGTTATCGGGGTTCTTTATAACTTTATCGCCAATTAGTATAATTTTCAGAGGTGAATATAAGAATTGGACATTCTGATTGGTCGAAAAGCTTGGCTTATGACGCTATGGCTGGTTTGCAGTGTCACGCCATCAAAAATAAAAATCGTAACCATTCAATAAATTAAGTCAAGAAACTGGGATATGAAAGATGATTGATATGTAAAAGACCTCGCCAAGTTCAAGGTCTGTGCGGTTTTTCATTCGCGCGCTTTTCGCAAAAGTGTTTCACTGAAATTTATAGACCTTTGTATGGAGTCGCCATGTTTGTGTCCCTCCGAGGAAACATCTGTCATTGAGTTCTCCTATTGAAACGAAAAGTTATTACTCTAGAGCTCCGACACATTGAA